CATAACAAAGCACGGCAGCATACGGTCCCGGTGTTTGCTGGCATGCAGACAACATCCATTCCTTATCTCCCTTTGTTATCCTCAGGAGAGTGATATCATTCACGGTCACCTGGTTGAAATGGGGTGATTTTATTAAGGGGACATTCAGAGGTGCCCGTTCCTGCTCGGCTGAACAGAAATGTTCCCCGCTGTTAGCCACGCGGTGTGGGGGAGGGGTGAAGTGATCATCCCAGAGAATTGGGTGTGTGGAGTGGGGGTAGTTGGGTTTGTGCTGCATGTTAACCCGGAAACTGCAGCCCCTCCTTTTACATTGCAAACCTATTTTAAATGGACAACCCAACGGGTGCTTGGTATGGGAAATGAGGGCGCTACTGTTTGAAACCATTCCCACATGTTAAGAAGGTTAAAAAAGCCAAAAGACTGTGGCTTACCATGGCTGCCTGCAAGCCGAAATCTGTTGCCTGGCACTGCGTGAGTGATCTCTCACATCAAACCGGCAGGCCCGCAATATAAGAGGGAAAATGCGACCTTGTAACGAAAGCACATGTGCTGTGTAATGTGAACAGCAAAATTTAACATGAAAGAGTGTACCCATTGTTCTCTAAAATGTCTTTTTTAACCACCTCTCCCTTCTCCTCCACCAGCTGCAAATGTTTCTCCTTCACAGAGGCTAGTGAAGATTAGAAGGAGAAAACGGCGGACGCGGGATGATATGTTCTCGGAGCTCCAGATGTCCTCCCACGCTGACAGAGCACAGCAGAATGCGTGGAGGCAGTCAATGTCAGAGTGCAAAAAAGCACAATATGAACGAGAGGCGAGGTGGCGGGCTGAATCGCGGGCTGAAGAGAGCAAGTGGCGGGCTGAAGAGGATAGGTGGCATCAGCTTGCTGACAGAAGGCAAGAGTCGATGCTCCGGCTGCTGGAGCATCAAACTGATATGCTCCGGCTGCTGGAGCATCAAACTGATATGCTCCGGCTGCTGGAGCATCAAACTGATATGCTCCAGCGTATGGTTGAGCTGCAGGAAAGGCAGCAGGAGCAGAGCCCCTGTGTAACCAACAGCCATCCTCCCCAAGTTCCATAGCCTCCTCACCCAGACGCCCAAGAACGCGGTGGGGGGGCCTCCGGCCACCCAGTCACTCCACCCCAGATGATTGTCCGAGCATCAGAAGGCTAGCCTTCAATAAGTGTTAAAGTTTTAAACTGCAGTGTGTCCTTTTCCTTCCCCCCTCCCCCACCCCTCCTGGGCTACCTTGGCAGTTATCCCCCTAGTTGTGTGATGAATTAATAAAGAATGCATGAATGTGAAATAACAATGACTTTATTGCCTCTGCAAGCGGTGCTCGAAGGGGGGAAGGGAGGGTGGTTAGTTTACAGGGAAGTAGAGTGAACCGGGTGGGGGGGTCGGAGGGTTCATCAAGGAGAAACAAACAGAAGTTTCACACCGTAGCCTGGCCAGTCACAAAACTCATTTTCAAAGCTTCTCTGATGCGCACCGCGCCCTGCTGTACTCTTCTAACCGCCCTGGTGTCTGGCTGCGCGTAATCAGCGGCCAGGAAATTTGCCTCAACCTCCCACCCCGCCATAAATGTCTCCCCCTTACTCTCACAGATATTGTGGAGCGCACAGCAAGCAGCAATAACAATTGGAATATTGGCTTCGCTGAGGTCTATCCGAGTCAGTAAACTGCACCAGCGCGCTTTTAAACGTCCAAATGCACATTCCACCACCATTCGGCACTTGCTCAGCCTATAGTTGAACAGGTCCTGACTACTGTCCAGGCTGCCTGTGTACGGCTTCATGAGCCATGGCATTAAGGGGTAGGCTGGGTCCCCAAGGATAACGATAGGCATTTCAACATCCCCAACGGTTATTTTCTGGTCTGGGAAGAAAGTCCCTTCCTCCAGCTTTTGAAACAGACCAGAGTTCCTGAAGACGCGAGCATCATGTACCTTTCCTGGCCATCCCACGTTGATGTTAGTGAAACATCCCTTGTGATCCACCAGGGCTTGCAGCAGCATTGAAAAGTACCTCTTGCGGTTTATGTACTCGGTGGCTTGGTGCTCCGGTGACAAGATAGGGATATGGGTTCCGTCTATCGCCCCACCACAGTTTGGGAATCCCATTGCAGCAAAGCCATCCACTATGACCTGCACGTTTCCCAGAGTCACTACCCTTGATATCAGCAGGTCTTTGATTGCGCTGGCTACTTGGATCACAGCAGCCCCCACAGTAGATTTGCCCACTCCAAATTGATTCCTGACTGACTGGTAGCTGTCTGGCGTTGCAAGCTTCCACAGGGCTATCGCCACTTGCTTCTCAACTGTGAGGGCTGCTCTCATCCTGGTATTCTGGTGCTTCAGGGCAGGGGAAAGCAAGTCACAAAGTTCCATGAAAGTGCCCTTACGCATGCGAAAGTTTCGCAGCCACTGGGAATCATCCCACACCTGCAACACGATGCAGTCCCACCAGTCTGTGCTTGTTTCCGGGGCCCAGAATCGGCGTTCCACGGCATGAACCTGCCCCAGTAACACCATGATTTGCACATTGCTGGGGCCTGTACTTTGTGAGAGGTCTATGTCCATGTCAATTTCCTCATCACTCTCGTCGCCGCGCTGCAATCGCCTCCTCGCCTGGTTTTGCTTTGGCACGTTCTGGCTCTGCATATACTCCAGGACAATGTGCGTGGTGTTCATAGTGCTCATAATTACCGCAGTGATCTGAGCAGGCTCCATGATCCCAGTGCAATGGCGTCTGGGCTGAAAAAAGGCGCGAAACTATTGTCTGACGGATGGAGGGAGGGGCGAGTGATGACATGGCTTACAGGTACAGGGAATTAAAATCAACAAAGATGGCTATGCATCAGGGAGAAACACAAACAACTGTCACACAGAATGGCCCCCCCAAAGATTGAACTCAAAACCCTGGGTTTAGCAGGCCGTTGATTTCACGAAGGGAGAGGGAAGCAAATGAATACAGAACAAATCTGGTCCATCTATTTTTTACATCTTAAGCTGGCAGCAGACGGTGCAGCATGACTGATAGCCATCGGCATCTTCTGGGTGCTTGGCAGAAGATGCTGTACTACGACTGCTAGCCATCATCGTCAAGACGGTTCAATAGGACTGCCGGCAGGACTGAGTCTCCAGGAGACAAAACATGTCTGCCCAGGTGCCTCTGATCGAACTCACTGAGGAATATGACAATGACAGATATCAATCGTAATACATCATCTACTGCCAAAAGGCAAGGAGCTGCTGCTGTATAGCAATGCAGCCCCACGTCTGCCAGTACCCAGATAGCCGATGATGGCTACCAGTCATACTGCACCGTCTACTGCCAAAAGGCAATTAGCTGCTGCTGTGTAGCAATGCAGTACCACGTCTGCCGGCACCCAGATGACATATGGTGACGGTGAGCTGAGCTGAGCGGGCTCCATGCTTGCCATGGTATGTTGTCTGCACAGATAACCCAGGTAAAAAGGTGCGAATCGATTGTCTGCCGTTGCTCTGACGGAGGGGGAGGGGCCTGACGACATGTACCCAGAACCTCCCGCGACACTGTTTTTGCATCATCAGGCATTGGGATCTCAATCCAGAATTCCAATGGGCGGCGGAGACTGCGGGAACTGTGGGATAGCTACCCACAGTGCAACGCTCCGGAAGTCGATGCTAGCCTCGGTACTGTGGACGCGATCCGCCGACTTAATGCACTTGGAGCATTTTATGTGGGAACACACACAATCGACTGTATAAAACCGATTTCTATAAAACCAGCTTCTATAAATTCGACCTCATTTCATAGTGTAGACATACTCTCAGTGAGCAAAGGGGAACAGTTTAGAAATATAATTTGTAATGTTTAACTCTGATCACTAGGAAACAGTAGCTGATAATTGAAATAATTGATAATGGATAGTTGGTTGGAAAATATTCATCAATGTACTTTATTTCATTTTTACCACCTACCCTACCACAGCAGTCTCATCCAGCGTGTCAGCCTTGTTAACAGCAAAATACATCTGTCCAAACTGTGGCAGTATGTTTAAGAAATTTCCACTTTACAGTTGTGGACAGACTCAATCATGGATACAACACAGAAGCAGACTGAAGTGAAAAAGGAAACCTAGAACTTTGTGCGCTGCAGAGGAAAACCTGGTTTAACGTTTGTTTAAAAATAGTTGTATATGGAGTACTTAGTGACTAGGAAGAAGAGAAACTACTTCCAAGGTGAAGTAATTATGAAACGAGATGTTGGTCCAATAAAAGATGTTACTTCATCCACCTTGTCTCTCTAATATCCTGGTTCCGACACAGTTACAACTACACTGCATACAACAAATTGCATTGGCAGTTTGTTTGAATGAGAGAGATCACAGAGAAAAAGATTTTAATAGGAGTTCTAAGAAATTCAAGATGGACTTCATTGGCATCAAAAGAAGGTGCTAAGGAAGTATCTTAGTACAGTGGAACTTAATTTGTCTATTTCTTGCAATAAATACTATAATCAGTCTGACTAGTAGTATTGGCTAATGTTAGGTGGGATCATTCTTTGCATGATCCTTGGTCTGTGTAAAGGAAAATTTAAAAAAAAATCATTAGTTCCTTGGCTAGTCAGTAGCTAGCTTCATAACTTTGCACAAGGTTTCCATAAGTATTTGGTTTAGCCTTTATCTATACTGAAAGGGAAAAATCCTTAAGTATCCTAGATACTGTAACTATCTGTAAATTCTCACTGTGAAATATTAGTAAACACTGTGCCTCTAGTACTCTGGTCTAATTTAATTAGAAAATTTTACTTATTAAAAAGTTACAGTTTAGTGTTGCACCCTCACTAATAGCTCATGTATGAGCAAAGCCTCATAACTTGTAACTGTCTGAGATTTTTAATTTAAAAAATTTAATCACCTTATTGCTTTTCGTTATAAGTAGGTGTCAAAGTGACCTGTTGGAGTGGAGTCTTGTTTTACAGTTCTGAGTTTATTTTCTCCCTTGTTCTAGATTGGAATGTTGACCATGACCACTGACAACAAAGAGGTACTTTATGACTATTTGATACATATCGTTATATGTAATAAAGATTTATACTATAATTCAGAAAGTGCTAAAACTTGTGCATGACTAAGTTACTCTGTCAGTTACTTGGAGACCTCTGGAGTAATTTAGTACAATGTGGTAAGAATGAATTCTTGCACAATAACTTTTCCCTAAGAATATCTGAAACTCATCATTTCCTATTGGTAAGGCTAAGATTTAGTGATGGGTATTTTTACTAAAAAGTCACAGACAATAAACAAAAATTCACGCTGGTGGTGGGGGACGGCAGCCCGGGACCACTGCTGTTACTGGGGCGGGCCCGAGCTGCTCAGGCGGCCCTGCGGTCAGGCACAGCAGCAGGCTGCAGAAGTCACGGAGTTCCCAGAAAGTCACGGAATCCGTGACCTCTGTGACAGTCTCGCAGCCTTACCTATTGGTGATAATCCATACTTCATTCTCCAATTTAATCTAACTCTGACAATAGCTTATAGTACTGGTTCATATATTTTTTTCAACAGACGTGTTCAGATAAGGAATTTAACAAGATTTAAGAGCTGCGCGCTCTTAAATTATCAAGTTCTCTGTAGCTTTAGAAAGTGTAGCTCTGTATTTGTACTTCAGTGACATGAGCTGGATTCCAAACCTCAGATTGATTAATAATCAAAGGAGGGTTGAAGCAGCAAAATACACATATTTATAGGCCTTTCCTAACTCCTTCCCTTTCCTATCTCCTTTGTCTTTCAGTTCCAACTTATGGGGAATTTGCCTGGATAACCTCTTCCTTACTATTCTAGTATGCATTTTAAGTGCCCTAAAAATATATTATTCTTTATTTAAACAGGTGATTAGAATAAATAAAACATGACTGGCAGTCACACCAAATGTTATGTTTTAGTGGTACTAAAGAAGTAAAGTTAGCATTTCTTATCACAGCATGAACATTGGGCTAAGATGCTATGTTTTCCCCTCTCTGTGATCCTGCAGAGAGCAGTTCTGTTGACATGAATGGTAAGGTTATTCTAAAAGCTGTTGGAAGATGAGATGGGGTTTAAGTGCACTGAGTACTTCTTTATAAAAGACATGTTAAGCCATGTGACTTAGCTGTATAAGAATTCTTTAAAATAAAAGTCTGTCTTGTGTGAACCTCAAAACTTAAATTTAAGAGGGTGCAAATGTATTATGAAAGTTGCCCCAAGTTGGTAATTCATTGTCGTCTACAGAAAAGTGTGGCATTTCTGCAAAAATTTAAAGTCAGATTTCTTTAATCAATCTTCTGAAAATGCACATGCAGTTTTGAAGTGTGGCCCCTAATGTCCATGGGCTGCTAATGTTCTGGCCATCTTTGAGAATTCCGTCTTTGCTGGAGAATCCAAGGTAACAATTGTGTCGTGAGAAGGGGACAGTAGGTCGTTCTCAAGGATTTGTATCCTCACCAGAAATCCTTTAATGTAAATTGTGACTGTTTTATATTCTACTACTTACTCAAGTCTCTACATAAAATATAACCTTGAGTTTTATCATTGTTTTTCAGAAGACTCAAGTTAGTAGTGTTGCACAATATTTGATAAGATTGCTTTTATTTTATAAATGTGTCTGCTCTAAGAAGTGCCAAGCTCAATAAAATTTTACATGCTATAGTCCATCCCATTTGGACAACTTGCCACTTAAAAAAAAAAAAAAATCTTTTTCCTGTATAAAGACCTAGGTTATGGCTTTAGTTCTCGTAAAGATAAAGTCTTTTTAATTGTTTGATCACATGAGCTCTCACTCTTCAGGCTCCAGAGGCTAAGTCCCGTGAAGACTTGATAAAAAATCACTATATGGCAAGGATAGTAGAACTTACGTCTCTTCTACAGCTGGCTGACAGCAAGTCAGTACATTTTCATGCTGAGGTGAGCATCCAGTCAATCTCCTGTACTGAAAACAGTAACTCCTTTCTGAACTTTCTATAGATCAATGTTATGAACAACAGGCTCCTACCAAAACACCATGGACAATCTATCCGATAATTTGTTCCTGCAGTTTATTCCTTGGTTTTGGGGTAGTATTCATAAAAGGCTGTACTTGCTGTGTGTTGCATCAATTTCTTAATTTTGAATAATTGAATATTCAACCTCCCTCGTTAATCAGTTGCATTTGGTAATAAGAAAGCACATTGGGTTTAAGTGGGTTATTCTTATACACCTATTTTATTGCTGGCTTTAGCTACCAAACTATATAGAATTGAATGTAGGTCCTTGGCTTAATGCAGGGTGGGGTAGGGGGAGATACTGAGACTTGGGCAGGAGGGGAGAGAAGCTGGCTGCAGGCTGGGAAGGAGGTTCCTACCTGGGCCTCATCCAGCCCCTCTGTGTCCCACTCCCCAACCCAATCCCTGCACTGCAGCAGCTGCTCCCCAGCCCAATCCTGGGCCCCACAGTTTTAGTCCCTCTGGTTCCTGCTTTGACACACCCTCCTCCTTGGCATATATGAGTTAACACAATATTTCTATTGCAGGGGTGCTAGCCCCCATGCTGTTCCACTGCCCTGGCTTAATGTGACAAACTACAGTAATTTCAAAGAATTTAGCAATTTGATAATGAAGTACTAGAACTAACCTCTCACCTAGAAATTGGAGAATGTTGTACAATTTGGCTTGCTTGACTTCTTTGCAAGCTGAGAACTGTTTTCAAGTATTTGTTGTGTTGAATTTTAGAATCTGATAAATGCTCCTCAGTAGGATGAGCAATTTTGCCAGAAACACATGCAGAACATGCCCCATATTTGGTTAGATTTGCTTTGTCAGCTTTAATGTACACAACTGTTATTGGTATGGCAGATAATGAGATAATGTGAAAGAACCATCCTTCCGCACTGACATTTAAGCAATATGTGCATGTGCCTGGCATCTTGAGATCTCATTTGTTTTATATTTTCTTTAAACAAAATGAATATATCCTTCTGATCGCAGATATTATTTTCTAGCAGTAGTGTCTAAAATGTAAGGTGCTCTTCTATAAAATAAATCCTGAAAGTTTAGTGTTTTATAATGTTAAATCACTGTTTAGCTTGTGAAGTTCTGTATAAAAGCTTATTTCTGTAACACACTTTCTGTAAACCAAAAACTTTGCATTTTGAAAGGCCCAAACATTCAGATTAAAAAAAAAAAAAAACTCTGCTTCAAATAATTTGCTATGTACAATACTGGCACTAACTGATTTTTTGTTTGTTTGTTGATAGTGCCGAGCGCTTGCCAAAAGATTATCATTAGCTGAGAAGTCTAAGGAATCACTAGTGGAGGAGATGAAATTAGCTAGTCAAAGCATCAGTAGATTACAGGCAAGTGAAATGTTAGCTAAGCAATTTGATGGACACACTACATGGGATAGTTGTGGGTGGAAAAACACAAAACCCAGTGTACATCCCATGCTAAGTCTGAAAACTGTCATGGCGTGTGAGTAGAATTGCAGACCAAACCCACTAATGCACATGTTTAAAATTATCGAAGATTGAGTATTAAATGGGATATGTCTTATTTTAAAAAATTGAGAAAATACTTACAGTAACGGAGATACCATTTTGATGTAAACATATATCTTGTGAAAGTATTGTCCCTTTTACCCTTTATTATCCCTGTTTGTTTTTTTCTTCCAAAACTATGATTAAATCCCAGCCGCTTAGCTGAGTGCAAAACATTATAATGTATATGCATCTAATGTCCCTTCTCTCCTCTTGCCACACTTCATTTTAATAGGCTGACTGAAGAGGAGAAATTGACAAGGTTCTTGCTCAATGAGCACTTTAAAATAGAAAAGTCAACTTCACTTCATACAAGAACTTAGCTAGCAGAGAGACTGAGACGTACTTACATATTCACTTTCCCAGTAAAACCCAGAATCATAAATGTACATTAGGGCATCCTCCCTAGCAGCTGGGATTTTTAAGACTATTTCAGCCTCTGCTTTTTTTTTTCCCCCTGGAAGGCTGATGGTGCTTTATAATAAAAACCACATGGCAACTTAATAAAATAAGTAATTTTTAACTGTGGTTATCAAATTGTGGACATGTCAGTTTTAGTTCCTTGAAAAACTGCTCTGCAAAAATGCACAGCGCACCATTTGCACTTAAAATCCAGAGAACTGAGCCAGGATAATTAAGTATCAGAGGGGTAGCCGTGTTAGTCTGGATCTGTAAAAAGCAACAGAGAGTCCTGTGGCACCTTTAAGACTAACAGATGTATTGGAGCATAAGCTTTCATGGGTGAATACCCACTTCATCATGCGCTTGATGAAGTGGGTATTCACCCATGAAAGCTTATGCTCCAAGATAATTAAGAGAATGAGAAAAGAGAAAATTGTAAATACATAAGTACTCAGGAACTTAGAGAGGTTTAACTTTCTGACCCCCCTCTATATTCAGTTAGTTCAAACCAGTGCTAACTCTAATGAGCAGATGATTCTTCACTTTTTAAACAAAGCAACATTTTTGGCTTGGAAAAGTTTTAGAGGAAGGAAGCTATTTTTCCATATGAGTTATAGTTGCCAGAGTATAGTATTCCTTCGGTTTTGAACCATCTCATGTAATCTCTCCTTCACATCATCATAGTCCTCTTTATCATTGGGTAAGGTGGGAGGCTTCTTAATTGAGATGTGGAATGTAAAATGAATCCCGTAATTTCCTTTTTAGATACTTCATCAGTAAACTCACAACCTTACTAAAAAGCAGCTTTGAGATTGAGTCCATGTAGTAATACAGAACCATGAAAGAGGGTGACAGTTTGTTAGGGTTGCCAGACACAGGAAGCACATACTCATGACTCAGATGGACAGGACCTATTCAGGAGTGCAATGTGAGGCCTTTGCATTGAACAATGTAACCAGGTGGCCTGCTTTTCAATACAAGTATTAAAGATAAATTAATTATCTATGAAACATTTTAATTCTTTACATCCATTGAATTTGTACTGAGGGCACAGTAAATAGCCATCACTTAAAACAGTGGTTCTCAACCAGGAGCATGCGTACCCCTGAGGGTACGCAGAGGTCTTCCAAGAACTATATCATCTCATCTAGATATTTACCTAGTTTTACAACATGCTACATAAAAATCACTAGCAAAGTCAGTACAAACTAACATTTCATACAGACAATGACTTGTTTATATTGCTCTATATGCTATACACTGAGCTGTAAGTACACTATTTATATTCCAATTTATTTATTTTGTAATTACATATTAAAAAATGAGAAAGTAAGCAATTTTTCAATGTGTTCTGTGACGCTTTTTTGTATTTTTGTCTGATTTTTGTAAGCAAGTAGTTTTTAAGTGGGGTGTAACTTGGGGATCCACAAGACAACTCAGACTTCTGAAAGGGGTTCAGTAGTTTGGAAAGATTGAGAGCAACTGATTTAAACTACTAATAAGCACAGCGTGGCTGTTATGAGGCTTTCAGTTAATGATGACAATACTGGAAATTGCTGAGTTAGAGAGTCTATTCTTCTACTCAGACATTTGTGGTTACCCTAGGAAATACTTCTTGCCACCTTGTTCCCAGTCCTAATATTGACATTCCTAAAGTCGTATTGCTATGGCCTAAATTTTTTTTTAAATGCACCTTGTTCTATAGGTAATGCACATTTTATTTTCTCAAACTTGCAAAGGTGACTTTGCACAAGTTTTATGATAGTGACACCCATGAAAAAATACCTTCCTTTAGCTTTTTGAATAATGTCACTTTATATGCCTCTGCTATCACATCTGAAATATAAAAATATTTCATGTATTTCAGATTGATGTCAAACTGATGATGTACATCTGAAACAGCCTTACATTGATCTTTGGCATTCACTGCAACAAGATAAGATTTTTAAATAAAATTCTGTTTGACTTAGTGCAGTCACTACTGCTTGAAGATCACATCACACATAAAAGGAGAACAATATGGTGATATTGTCAACTAGCTGCCCATTTAGTGTTCTTTGAGTTATGGCTAGTGGACTGCCATTTTGCTATCCCTTGGAGTAATGATTACAATGGTAGACTTTTATTAGTAGCTCTTAAAGTACTTGACTTCTGATGCAAAACTTTTTTAAATTGCTAGTACTATGCCTAACCTTCATAAACAAGACCAGCATGATCGAAATTATCCACAAATTCTCCAGTGACTTAATGAATCCCTGTATGATTTCAAGGTATTAATGATGTGACATGATTGTGCAGCCCAGACTCCCATACAAATAGTTCCCTTGAAGTCAGTGAGCATACTAAGCATGAGAAAGGATCTGATCCTGCAGCCCTTAATCTTTAGCTGTTATTTTTCTTAAGTATTCAGATACCACACTGAAGACTTTGTATATACAGATATTTAATAGTACTGTCCTTTTGGGCCCAGTTCTATCTACCCATGTTCTTAATTGAGGTTTTGGATCACCTATTTGAGTTTAAGACCAGGATTTATGTAGTGTTTTTCTGAACTCTTTTCATTGTGAAGTTCTTGTATGATGAAATTTGACAATTTCTCTGGTGGCAAACAGGCATAATTATAAAATTGAATTCCTTCTAAAACAGTGCACCCTCAGTACATATCTGTAAAGATCCATATATCTCGCCAAAAAACCTCTCTCAAACTATTCATCCAAAATTATATAACAAATTGTTTTCTTTTCTTTTTTTTAAAAAAAGCATACTGGCTGGAACACTTATTTTTCAACACATAGTCCTGAATGTTAAACAGAACTTAATAAATAAAAACAATTGCATCTGGGCTGAAAACTGGGTTTTAGCCTCAGTGATTTTTGTCCCATGTTGTTAAACCCTTAGTTAGATGATGATCTATAAAATAGTGTAATAAAATAAGTTTTGGGAGGTGATAGTGGGGGAGACGGGGGGATGAAGTTTTAAAGATATATAAGAAAACTACCGAGACTTTTTTTCATTTAAATTTTTGCATAGTTGCTTTTCTCCATAATGAAATTGCTTAAGTGCACACGTTTGGTCAACCTAGCAGCTTTGTTGGACAACTTGCATGTCTGCATGAACAATGTGCTACTGTAATATTAGGCAAAGCTGAAAGCTACTGTTCATTCACTCCTTAGGATGAGTTGACAACCACCAAAAGAAGCTATGAAGATCAGCTAAGTATGATGAGTGACCATCTGTGCAGCATGAATGAAACCTTATCTAAACAAAGGGAAGAAATTGATACACTAAAAATGAGTAAGGTAGGTTACCAAGTGTTGTATTTACTTTGCGCATGGTCTGTAGCCTGGGTTAGCAAGTAGTGTGAAGTTACTAGCTCGTTTTTGTTGGCATGAAAATCTGAAGCCCTATCCCTACTAATCCAAGTGAATGAGAGTTTTAGGACCTAACTTGGAATCTGAAAATGACTGGTGGTCATAAACTATGTCTTTCCCTGCACTCTTAACTGTAGAGAGCTTATTACATCCTCCCCACACCAGATTAGGCTTTAAAAGGGGACTTCTTACTCTTATAAGTACCATTTTTCAGCTACCTTAAAATAAAACATACTGTTAAAAATGCACATGGAAGGATGATCAGGAAGGTGGAGGAGATAAGAGAGTCACACTGTAAGCATTCATTAATGGATATTATTTATGGTCACTCCTTCATAGTTACAATATATTGTATTCAAAGCTGCTATTCTTTCTCTCATCCCAATGATCCAGTTGAAAAGTTAGCTGCTCTTGTTTCTCGTTTTCACACATAGAATCATAGAAGATTAGGGTTGGAAGAGACCTCAGGAGGTCATCTAGTCCAACCCCCTGCTCAAAGCAGGACCAACCCCAACTAAATCATCCCAACCAGGGCTTTGTCAAGTCAGGCCTTAAAAACCTCTAAGGATGGAGATTCCACCACCTCCCTAGGTAACCCATTCCAGTGCTTCACCACCCCCCTAGTGAAATAGTTTTCCCTAATATCCATCTTAGACATCTCCCACTGCAACTTGAGACCATTGCTTCTTGTTCTGTCATCTGCCACCACTGAGAACAGCCTAGCTCCATCCTCCTTGGAACCCCCCTTCAAGTAGTTGAAGGCTGCTATCAAATACCCCCTCACTCTTCTCTTCTGCAGACTAAGTAAACCCAGTTCCCTCAGCCTCTCCTCGTAAGTCATGTGCCTCAGCCCCCTAATAATTTTTGTTGCCCTCCGCTGGACTCTCTCCAATTTGTCCACATACTTTCTGTAGTGTGGGGCCCAAAACTGGACACAGTACTCCAGATGTGGCCTCACCAGTGCCGAATAGAGGGGAATAATCAGTTCCCTCGATCTGCTGGCAATGCTCCTACTAATGCAACCCAATATGCCGTTAGCCATCTTGGCAACAAGGGCACAATGTTGACTCATATCCAGCTTCTCGTCCACTGTAATCCCCAGGTCCTTTTCTGCAGAACTGCTGCTTAGCCAGTCGGTCCACAGCCTGTAGCAGTGCATGGGATTCTTCCATCCTAAGTGCAGGACTCTGCATTTGTCCTTGTTGAACCTCATCAGATTTCTTTTGGCCCAATCCTCCAATTTGTCTAGGTCACTCTGGACCCTATCCTTACCCTCCAACATATCTACCTCTTCCCCCCATCTTAGTGTCATCTGCGAACTTGCTGAGGGTACAATTCGTCCTATCATCCAGATCATTAATGAAGATGTTGAACAAAACTGGCCCTAGGACCGACCCCTGGGGTACTCCTCATGATACTGGCTGGCAAGTAGACATCGAGCCATTGATCACTGCCCATAGAGCCCGATGAGCTAGCCAACTTTCGATCCACCTTATAGTCCATTCATCCAATCCATACTACTTTAACTTGCTGGCAAGAATACTGTGGGAGACTTATCAAAAGCTTTGCTAAAGTCAAGGTATATCATGTCCACTGCTTTCCCCATATTCACAGAGCCAATTATCATAGGAGGCAATCAGGTTGGTCAGGCATGACTTGCCCTTGGTGAATCCATGTAGACTGTTTCTGATTACCTTCCTCTCCGCCAAGTGCTTCAAAATGGATTCCTTGAGGACCTGCTCCATGATTTTTCCAGGGACTGAGGTGAGGCTGACCGGTCTGTAGTCTAAATACTAGAAAGTGAAATTTTAATTAGTTTCAATCTAAAACAAAAATAAAATTAACTAGTCTGCTGAGCAAAAAGTACAAAACAGATCTAAAATGGACTTAAGCTATTTTAATTTATCTAAGATCTCACTATTAATACAGGTAAATCTGTTTTAAATATAAATTGTAACCAGGGCTGGCTCTAGGCACCAGCCCAGCAAGCAGGTGCTTGGGGCGGCCAACGGAGAGGGGCGGCACGTCCGGCTCTTCGGTGGCAATTCGGCGGCGGGTCCCTCTCAGAGCGAAGGACCTGCCGCCGAATTGCCGCTGAAGACTGAAGCGGCAGCGGTAGAGTTGATCGCAATTGTGGCTTTTTTTTGTTTTGTTTTGTTTTTTGTTGCTGCTTGGGGGGGGCAAAAACCCTGGAGCTGGCCCTGATTGTAACAATAGTGTCCCTTTAACAATGTTACTTTATCAGGATCTGAAATCATAATACCCTCATAATACCGAAGCGCAAGGATGCCCTTTTGGTTGTCTCTCCTGTGGTGGAGACTATTTGTGCCATATTATAATGTTAAAAAATCCCTCTGGAAAATAGTCACTGCACAAATGGTGTAAGTTGCTTATTAAAATAACAATGTCTGAAACATTTGAAAAGTAAAGAAAACCCTCCTTCTCCCCCCATAACCTTAGGTACTCAAGCAGTAACTTCACAATTTCACTTAAAATGAGGCCCTTTTAAATATGGAAGCATGACAAAGTGAAAGTTGCAGATTTGGGGAGGGTTTTGTTTCCAAGTCAAAACAGCAAGAAATAACAAAGCATCAAACACTGCCAACATTTAACCAGTTCTGCTTAAAACAATTAAACGATGAACTCCTGCAAATAGACATGCATTTTTGAATTACTGACATCCTGTTAATGGAAAATGATAAATTTAGAACTCTTCGCCAGACTGTGCTGTAAATATCCTGTTTAAAACAAGCTAAAATAGGATAAGGTCACTGTTTTCTTAAGAAAAATTGATACAAAATAATTCCCAGTATTTATTCCTTTGGGCAATTATCCTGTAAGGGTTTTATTAGAAACAAGTACCATTTACTGATAAAATCTCACTTGCCTTCACAGCATTTGAATGATGGTGTAATCCTGAGAATGTGGACACAATTTCAGTGCCTTTCTTCTAGATTTTAATTAGAATAAAATATTTGTGGTTTTGATGACTATGAAAGCTGTAATCCTTTCTTCCCTCAGTTATAACAAGTGTAATGGGAATTTATAGAGTAGACACAAGATTTTAAATACAGAAGCTTTCTTTTCTTCTTTCTTACTTGGAAATTTAATGACTTTTTTCTCCTATGCTGCATTTTCTTTTGTAATGTTTTCTCTGTATAGGCATCAGATTTGTTCCTGTTTGTGGTTCATACAAGTTATTTTCATATGAATTATGTTCTTCTGTGCATTGTTTATTTTTCACTACAGGGAAATTCCAGAAAGAACAAAAGTCGATAGTTTACGGCCAATCAACTGTCTTTCAGATGTTGCTACTGCTACACAGAATTGCAGATGCTGAAAATTCAATGTCACCCTCTTGGCTAGTTCTTAAAAGGAAACAGAGGTGGGTTTGGCCTAGTAATAAGTCATTTGGTGCTGTATATGAATTTGACACATTTAGAACTTGTAATCAGTAAAACAGACAGAATTTAATGTTGGCAGTTAAAACAAAGAATTTTCACTCATGGTTAACTTGCATCGGAATTCCCTTAGGTTGTTTTTACTGTACACTTTTTGAAATTAGATTTTAATGTAATCTAATTAAGATTATGTATATTTTCAAATTCAAGTATGGGTTAAACTTGGTAGCCGTGCGATAGTGTGTTTCTGGATAAAATGTTTAAACTGTCAACATTCATACATTCCATTCTTTGCTGTTCTTAAAAAAAAAAAAAAAAAAAAAAGTGTCTCAAGATTCATTTGAAAATGTAACATTTTTGGCCATGCAAGCTGTGCATTTTGTGTACATTTATTGTTTCCTCCTGCTCTCAGATCTTCTGAATTAGTTGGGATGGTTGCTTAGGGAACCTGATGTCAATAAATTCAAACTTAAAGTGAACTGGCTCAGTCTTGTTTGGGGTATATGCAATATTGGAAACTTCAGTTTCTCATACTTGGGGGCTTGGGTTTTGAACTCAAGAGGACAAGTAGCTCAATCAAGAAATGCTCATGAAATTGCATTAAAGACTTGTTGGGGAATTTTGTTTGTATTTTAAAATGTGCTGGTATAAAAATTTGCTCATAAAATCTAGAGCAAAAAGTGACCATAAAATGTTGAAAGGGAACAAAGATATTTTTTGTAAAGTCCGCTGTCTCAGCAGTGTAACAGCACACAGGGTAGGCTGATCTACTACTCTCTAGAAGTTATTAATTCACAGATGACTTAAACACTGAATTTGTAAAGCAGTTAAAACATTTTATGGTATTATGAAGAAGTTTCCCTAATGGACTGACTTTTAAAAAAAAAATCTGTTTTTTATTGTTTACTCATAATTATAATTTATTTAGGAAGCCTGTAAATCTCTCTCTCATAAGATTTTCAGCACAGTCTAATACCACAAGTAGAGGTGGGCATGAAACGATTTTCCCATCCCTTAACTATTTTCATGAGTTAGCATTGAGACGAAGCTGAGATCTTTTGATAAATGAGAGGCCAGCCACACCCTAGAACAACCCGGTTGTTAGTGCATTCATGTGAGCAGGGGAAGACCTGGGTTCAAGTTTCTGCTCCAAATCAGGCACAGCAAGGATTTTGACCTGGGTCTCCCACATCCCAGATGAGTTCCCAACCCACCAGGCAGTTGGCTATTTTGGAATGTGGTTGATCTCTCTCCTGTTGGAGCTTTTCCACTTTGAATAAACATTGGGCCAGAGAAAGTGACACTGACTCTCTAGCTCAGTGATTATGGCTCCCACTTGGCAAGTGGGAGAATCGGGTTCAAGTCCCTGCTCTAATGAATATTTATTTATGCCAAGTGGAAAAGGAAAGATTGAGACCTCAAAACCCAGAATAGCAATGAACTGTTTTGATGAATTGGCATTTCCCAGTGAAAAAACATTGTCAAATTTCCGACCAGCTCTAACCATAGGTTTCCACAGCATAGTGTCTGACAAAAATCAGTGTTGCTAAATGTTTTACATTGAACTTCTATTCCATAATGGATTATATGGCACTTATCTGTCCTAAATGCAAGATTCACTCTGTAATGTTAGCCAAGTCAATGTGTATTGAGTCCATAATAAAAAAAAATCCAAGTCACAAATTTAATATTGCTGAGGTGCCTTTTTTGAGTGTACCTGTCTAGACTGTGTTCTGCCTCTTACCAGCAGCTGTTTTAAGTATAGCAAAGTCCTCAGGGACAAGCACATAGGAAGAGCTATGTTCCATCAAGATTACTTCTAAAAATACAATGTTGTCTTGGCTCTGAATTGTTCCTCCTTTTATGTTGTAAATAGAGTAGAACTGAGAGTCAACGTATACTTCTCTTCTCCTCCCTTGAAGTGACCTGTGCAGGAGGCTTCTATCTTGCAGTGAGAGACACCTTAGTTGCCCTGTTTTGCGTCTCCAAATCAAATTATTAAATGTATGTTTTATAGTGTTTACTATCACTTACATGTTTAATGGAGGTTGCACACATAGTCGCATTCAAACATCCTTTCTACTTTCTTCAAACTTTGTGAAAAGATCCTTTGAACTTTCCTAAGCTTAATCTCTGCCAGAAGGTGATGTTTTTGGAAAGTTTAATCAAAAGGTGCATTGAAGATTGAGGTTAATAAAAAAACTGCTTAAAAGCCACCCAAACTTTTTATTTGTGATCTAATAATCTGAGTGACAAAGGCATATTTTTGTCACCTCTATTTAATTGCTGTAATACACTCTCTGGGGTGACAACTTTGAAACTGGAGTTAATGCTGGAGGTGGCAGCCAGTGCAATAAGCAGAGTTTCATGCCAGGAGCATGTCCATTCTTCTTTGAGTGCTTGCTCATGTCCATTGCATTATAGGTGTATGTGCTTGCCACGTGCATCGGTGCTGGAAGTTTTTCCGCCGGCTCTTCCCTCCCTTAGTTCCTTCTTACTGCCAGTGATGGTGCTGGAATGTCTCCTTGCCTTGGCAACCTTTCCTTCTCAACTGTCTAGTTGTGATTCTCTGTATGTCGTTCTTAGAAAGTTTTGTATAGTTTATTAGTTCCCTTAGTGCATAAGTTAGAAATATTTAGTCCCCTATGGGACTTAGCCTAGGGATGGGGCATGCCCCAATCCCTGGGCTTCAAGCCTTGTGACGCTGCAAAAAACATATGCCAGTCAGTGATCCCTATCAAAGCTGTCTGAAGTGTTTGAGGGAGACCCATGTGACCAATAAGTCTCGCATTTGTAAAAGTTTCAAGCCACAAACCATAAAGGAGCGGGGTATTCAACTTAGAGCGTTCCTTGTGGAGTTGGCCCTCACACCGGCCTCAGAGCTGGCTAGATCAGACTCTGCTCCAAGCACCGAGGCATCGGTGCTCTGCACGCTGCTGGCACTGGCCTCTGACTGGTGCCGATCCCCATCCCTGGTACCGGCTAAAAAGCAAAGAAAGGCCGGAAGAGGGCATTATCCTATGTCCCGTAAAGAGAAGGAGAGAGCCAGAGGAGAGCAAAGACCCACATGGGGCAGCTCCTCCCCTCCGGATAGTGGCCAGGCTCCAACACCCGTTGAGCTGTCGAGCCCCCTTCAATATCTGCCCAGGAAGCAGCAGAGGCACGTGGCACCTGGCGGTGCAATCCACACCAGAGGCCTTTCAGGCTGCTAAGGACATATTGTCCCTTGTGTTGCCCCCCATGCTGGCTAGCGAGGTGTCCCATTCAAGGGGTAAACCTGCCCTGGGACTTTTCGAACAGTCTCCATCGGTGAGGCACCACTCTCCGACACAGGGGATGTCCCACCAGCACTCGCCTGAGCAGTGCCGCCAGATCCCAGATACGGGTTGGCTTACCTGTCAGAGTGCCTGGCGTTGTTCTCCACACTCTAGGCAGCGTTCCCCAGGATCCCAGTGCCGATTGCCAGCTGTCTGGTGCAGACCTGTGGAGGCGTGTCACCAGTCCCCAGAGTCCTGTCACCAGTCCCCGGAGCGTTTGAGTCGATCTCCAAATTTGGGGTACCACTCTAGAGGGTAAAGATGCTGGTTTCCAGTTTGCCCCTATGGATCCCCATGGGCATGTTGATGTTCTCCTGAACCAAGACTTCGATTCTCTCGCTCCTGGTCCACAGAGCGGCACCACTCTCAAACCATGAGGCGTCGATTGCTAGGATACCGCCGCCGATCCACTGAACACTGCTGCCGGTCCCGGGAGGTGCGGCACCGAGAGCAGTCTTCCCGGTACAGGTCACAGGTGGAGACCCCTGGAGAAAAAGGAGTGACGGGAACGGGGTAGATAGGCAGCTTTGGTACCAGCCTGGTCCCCCAGACGAGTCTCTCCCTCCTCTGGCTCAGAGAGTGAGGAGGATCATCTGCCTGCAGGCCAAGGCCATCCACCAGAGGCATTGACATTCCCATCGGGACTACCAGTGGTTGCATGGCACCAGGGCCAATGGCTGCCTCCCTGGGAGCTATGGAGTCCCGGGGGTTTCCCCAACCATCGCAGGGGCACCGATCACTCTCAGGGGCATCTGAAAAACGGTCAGCAACAGTCTCCCGCCTGCCCCTGGTCTCGGAAGCGGAGTCAGAGCAAGGTCCCTAGGGTCAGCCAGCCTCAGCTGAGGCTCCCCTGGCGGAGGCTATGAAGTTGGCAGACGCACCGTTACTCGCTTCCTCATCCTCTTCACCTGATGAGGCAATAGCGGGACCATCCCACACAGTTCCCCAGGACAATGTAAAGGCTCACCAGGAGCTTCTAAAGAGGGTGGCATCTAACCTGCAGTTGGTGGCTGAGGAGTTAGCAGAACCCTCACACTCCATGGTTGATGTTTTAAGCATAGCAGCCCCCTCCAAGGTGGCATTGCCAGTCCACGAGGGAGTGTAAAGCTGATCAATGCCTTGTGGCAAACTCCCTGCCCCCCACCTCCAAGTGGGCGGAGAGGAAGTATTTTGTCCCTGCTAAGGGATTTGAATACCTATATACACCCCTGCTCCAAGCTCATTGGTGGTATCAGCGGCCAATTAGCACAATAGACAGGGCCAGCTGGGATTGACCCCTAAGAATAAGGAGGCGAAGAGGCTCGATCTCTTTGTCAGAAAAATGTATTCTATGGCAAGCCTCCAGTTAAAAGTGGCCAACAATCAGGCCCTACTTGGCTGTTATGATTTTAACATTTGGCAGTCCATGGTCAAGATTGCAGACTCACTACCAGAGGAGACCAGGAAGGAGTTCCTGGCTATTCTGGATGAGGGCAGAGCTATGGCCAGGGCAGCCCTCCAAGGAGCAGATGTGGCAGACTCCGTAGCCTGGACCATAGCCTCAGCCATTTCTATGAGGCACCTGGTTGCAGTCGTCTGGCCTGTCAGTGGAGGTTCAGCAGTCCATCCAGTCCATCCCCACAGCGGCTGGAGCCCTGGGCCCTTTAAACCACCGCCAGATAAGCCAGTCCAGTCCGGCACAGAGTACCGGCTTACTTTCACCTCTGATTGTAGGTGTGTGTGTGTTCGCCACATGCACTGGTGCCAGAAATTTTTCCCTCAGTGGTATCCGTAGGGAACCAGCTTTGGTGCCCTCTGGAGTGGTGTGCATATGTGCCGGCTCCCCCCTACCTCAGTTCCTTCTTGCCAGAACTCCGACAGAGGGGAAGAAGGGTGGGTCATGGAATGGACATGAGCAACACATCTTGAAGAACAGTTATGAACGGTAACCATCTTTTCTTCTTCAAGTGCTTGCTCATGTCCATTCCATTGTAGATGTCTCCCAAGCAGTACCACTGGAGGCGGGTGGGAGTTCATTGACGTGTCGATTGCAACACAGCTCTGCCAAAGCCAGCATCGTCTCTGGCTTGCTGGGTGATGGCATAATGTGTCAAGAAAGTGTGTACTGGAGACCACGTTGCAGCCCTGCAGATGTCCTGGATAGGGACATGCCCCAGGAAGGCAGCCAAAGACGCCTGAGCCCTAGTCGAGTGGGCCTTCGCTATAGGCAGAGGCACATCATGTGCAAACTCATAACAAGTACGGATGCGGGTGGTTATCCAATTTGAAATCCTCTGAGAGGACAACGGAAGGCCCTTCATCCTGTCAGCTATTGTGATAAAGAGCTGGGCCGATCTGTGAAAGAGCTTGGTGCGCTCCAGGTAGAAAGCCAGGGCACACCTGACATCTAGAGTGTGCAGCCACCTCTCTTCATTGGTCGTGTGAGGCTTTGGACAGAACACCGTGAGGAAGATACCCTAGTTGTCATGGAAGGGTGACACCACCTTTGACAGGAAGGCCTGATGGGGCCGCCGCTGGACCTTGTCCTTGTAGAAGGACCTGGACCTTGTCCTTGTGTACGCGGGGGCTCTCAAGTGAGGGCCTTAATCTCAGAGAAGTGTTTTGTGAGGTAATAGCTACAAGGAATGCAACCTTCCATGACAGGTGGGAAATGGAACAAGAAGCCATAGGCTCAAAGGGCAGACCTGTGAGCCTGGAGCGGACCAGGTTGAGCTCCCATTGGGGAACCGGGTCCCGGATCAATGGAAAGAGGCTTTCAAGGACTTTCAGGAACCTGATCATCATCTCATGCAAGGATACCGATCTACCCTGGATGCGAGGATGGAAGGCCGATATGGCTGCCAGGTGCACCTTGATCGAAGAGAAGGCGAGGCCCTGGAGCTTTAAGTGAAGCAGGTAATCCAGGATGGACTGCAGACACAACTGGGTCAGGGAGATACTCCACTCCAAGGCACAGCTGGGAAGTGACCACAGTGCTGCTATGGCCAGGTCCATGAGCATGCCAAACCAATGCTGGTGAGGCCATGCTGCGGTGATCATAATGAGCTGTGCCTTGTCCCTCTTGATTTTTGAGAGGACTTTGCTGATGAGTGGAATTGGCAGGAAGGCATACGTCAGGTCTCTTGACCACGACAGGAGAAAGGCACTGGAAAGTGAGCCTCTGTCGAGGTCTTGCAGAGAGCAGAACTGATGACACTTCCTGTTCTGTCTGGTGGAGAACAGATCCACTCGGAGAGCACCCCGCTTTTGGAAGAGCATTCTGACAACCTCTAAGTGAAGGGACCACACGTGGTGAGAGAAGGACCTGCTCAGGCGATCCGCCTGCGTGTTCCAGACCTTGCCTAGGTGATGT